TTGTTTCTGTCTTTACCCTCTTTCCAGAATTTGATAAATAGGCTATTGTTGCTACAGTGAGAAAATATAGTAAATTAGTCTCAGTGATTTTACTTTTATGCAGATGTTAAGTTTTTAAACTCAGCTTATTTCCACACTTGTATGTAGAGAGAAATGAAATTCATGTCACTCCTGGGGAGGAGTATTTTACATTGTATTTTTTATGTGAGTCTTCTCCTGTTCGCCCACTGAGATTTGTTACAATAAAAATAAAACAATAAAAGTTTAAAGCACTATCATTGCAGAGTTTTATATGCTGGTAATAAAAATTGAATGAACAGAAGTACAATACCCCCCAAACAATAAACAGAAGTTACCAGGCAATAGAAAGAGGCTGCACCTGGGCAGGTGAGCACGATAGCCGTCTGGAGTCCCACTACGGCCCATGCTTTGGCTTTGTATTGCCTGTGGGCTGAGAATGACTTTCACATTTTCGAGGGATTCCACCCAAATCTAGAGAGGAACATGGCAGTCTGTGGAAATGCATGGAACTCTAGTTTCCATGTGTGTGGATGAAGGTTCGCTGGAACAGGGCCACGGGCATTCGCTTCATGTTAGCAACAGTCTGTCGTTTCATTTGCGCTAAAGACAAGCTCAAATAAGGTCTGCAAGTTAAAAATATTTACTGTCGGGCACTGTGCTGAAAAGCTCGGCCGCTCTCGGCCTTATCCCTGCAGTAGCTCCTGTCAGCCTCCTGAAAATCATCAACAGTTTCCTTTGGTTTTTCTCTCCAGTGGCTGGTACATTTCTGGATAATTTAGATGGGATGATCATTCGGGCACAGATACTCCTGTCATTCCGAATTCATTTCACCTTCACAAAATACTCAGGGAGAGAAACAAACGTGTATACATTTGTGAATGGTGATTTTCTTTTTCTGTGGATAATGATATTTAAGAAGCTGGTTTAAAAAAAAAAACAATCAAAAAACTATCCATTTTGCCGATCGGTTGTTTCCAGGTGCTCACTAAAGCATAGACATGAGAACACAAAGTCTTATCTACCCGCTGAGTGTCACACTGTGCCTTTCATGCCTCTGCTTAAGTTCCCCGAAGAGCACTATGCTGAGGACTCCTGTGACTGCCCTTCACTGAATTCCTTCTTGATCATGCAACAACTGGGCATATTTAGTAGCTACTGTCCTACTTCAGAAAAGAGTCACTCCGATCCATTTTGATAGACACAACATTTAGAAACAATGGAGAAAAGGCTTTTGAAACTATAAATTCTCTATTGACTCACAAGTATTCCTGTTGGACCCTCTTTGTTCCTGAATTCATCCTTTGATTGGTTTCCCTCCCATATTTCTTTTTTCCCTTCCTCCTGGGTCCTTCATCCCATTGCTAGTTCTGATGGCTCCCTTCATTTACATTTAAGTTGCTATGTTCTATTTGCTTCTCCATCACAGTTTCCTATTGGCTAAGGTCTTGGTCAGAACCTGGCACATCTCATGAACTTGGAAGGCATTGACATCTGGTATACATGGATACCATCTCTGTCTCTGGTCCCTTGCTTCAGCCCATATGTCCAGTTTCCCACCCTCCACTCATCAGCCTTAGAACGTGCTTTCCACAGTGAGAGACGTGGAGTCCTGCCTGCGAGAGAGCCCTGGGTCCCAGAGGGGTAGTTAGCGAAGGAAAATGAAACGTCAGGAACAGGAGTGGGTGTCTCTGAAAACAGGCCTCCTCCGGTTCTCCGTTGCCTCCCGGGTTCATTATGTTTGCCTGCATATCATTACAAGTGCTTCGTCTTGCTTTTTCCTACAAACCAGAGGAGGCAGCTAAAATAGGGGGCACGGGCGATGTTGCGGGAACAGTGCCTTGCTGTGCAGCCAACAGTCTGGCTATCACTGGAGATGTTTACCTGGGAGGTATATATTTCACTGTCTCAGGCGAGTAAGAGGAGTCTGGCTAGAACTAGCCTTCCAACCGTCATCACATGCAGAGAGTGGGAGAGCTGCATTCCAGGCCGGGACAGTAGTCCAGTGTGGCAACTTTGGAGGCCTGTGGCAAGGAACCTTCAGCTTGAGGGCTGAGTTCCAGAAGGGAATGGATTGTGCTTGGCTCCTGGGCACCCCAGGAGGCTATTATTGGCACATTCTTATCATACAGGAAATGCTGGCTGTGAAACGAGGCAGCATAGAGAGAGATACAAAGATGGGGTTTTGGGAGAACTTTTTCTTCTGTTTGACAATGAGGTCAGTGGGCCAGCCAGAGGTCATGGGCGGAGGACAGCTGTGCCCATTGGCTATGTTAATTCCACTTATTACTGCAGCCTTCTGAGTTGTAGTAATAAAATAACCCACAATAGATGATTTGAATACCCCACATACAGATGTTCACTTTATTGTGTAGAAATTAGTATTTTATATTCCTCCAAATACTATTGCTTCAGCTCATGGAGTATTTCATGCTGGGGTTTTGGTCCTCTTTGTAATAGGGTTTCACTTATTGAAACAGCTGTGATTAGGAGTCTCTGGGAATGTATACTGTCACTACCAGACTGTCTCTTGTCCTATCATTTTGACACTTTTCTGTCTCAGACCATTTCTGCTGCTTCAATAATACCATAGACTGGTAGACTGGGCAATTTGAAAGAGAAAACATTTGCTTTCTCATGATTTTGAATGCTAGGAGTCTAAGCCTAAGTGACGACCTTGACCTCTAGTGACAGTCTCTCTGCTGCACTCGCACATGGCAGAAGGCGGAAGGGCAAGGGAAGAAGAATAGATTCCCCCAGACACTACCGGAGGCCTCTTCCCAGAACGAGTTCACAGAGAGTAGATCTCCGAACTGGTGGGTCTTACAGGGCAGGAAACAGGAATTTGATCCCAGGGCAGAACCAGTTCCTGTCTGGAACACCAGTGGAGGAAGGAGTCAGCCATTCTTTGGCCATAGGTTTGAGTTTTGGGGGGTCTCAAAGATCAAGCAGTGTTCCTATTTGGACAAGACTCACTCTCAAGGGCACTGTATTGTAGAGACGCAGGTAGGCCCTGGTTGACTGGGTGTGTGGAGAGAAATGAGGTGTAGAAGAACAATGAGGAAAGAGCTATGGAGCCTGAGGGGACAGGGGTGCCGAAGGGCAGCGTCTCCATCCGCCTGGACCTTGTCACTGCACTGGCAGAGCAGCGCACACTCGGTCATCAGAAGGGTGCCACAGAACACTTCGCACCTGGGAATCCGAACCCATCTTCCATGACTATGGTGACTTTCTGATCATCTTTGCAGCAGTATCGCCTTCGTCGTGGTCTTCTGAACTTGCCTGCTGCTGCCATGCTGGCTCCAATAGACCATCGTTGCCGAGGCTGTCCAATGTATCCTGTCCCTGGTTTAAATTTCACTGTCATGATCGCCTCTCAAAGTCCCCACGTCTTCATTCTGTTACACTGAAATTGGGAGGAGACTCACTCAAGCCACAGTCTTTTCATAGTCCGCTTCAGTTCCAAAATATATGAAAGGTCTCAGGGTGATGTACTATTATGTTGCAATTATAGGCTCTCCTTTTTTTTTCCTACCACAGCCTCTGCTCAGGTATTCTCTATGTTAAAAGCACACTGGGCTCCTCCATGGGATAGCAAATATCTATTCCCTTCTCTTCCTTTCTTTCTTGGGAGGCTTCGATGCCTGTCTAGGAGTTCTGTCTTTGATGTCTGCACAGTACTGGCTCCTTCTGGGTATTTTTCCTATCAGAACACTTCTTACTTTGTGTTTACCTGGTTCTCGGTTAGAACATGAGCCAACCTTGGATTGGACTGGAGTAATTCACAGATACAGCTGTTTCACCTGTTTAAACAGTTATTTAACACATCCTAATGAGTTGCTTTGGTTGTTTCTTAAGGACCCCACATCTCAAAAACTAAACACATCCGATATTAAAATGAAAGGATTAAAGATAAAGAAATTACTAATTTTTTTATCAATAGCAGAGAAAGCAGTAGTAATCTCAAAGATGATTTGTGGCCCAACAACCAGTTTGGTGAGACCCTGGAGGGTTTTGAGCCTTGGTTCTCACTTTGGTTTTTAAAAGCATCAAAATAACTCCCTTGCCTACCTACTGGAGTTTTGGTAGGATGAGATAAAATGTTACATATGAAGATGTTCTGAACAGAATTAAATTGTTTTCAGCATAAAATTTGCATTGTTTGGGGCTGGGCAGTGGGAGGTCCGTTAAGAAAGTGCCTGCTGTGAAAACACGAGGATTGATAGTCAGAACCCAGGAAAAACACAGGGTGGTTGGCATGTGCTTGTAATTTCAGTGCTGGGGAGGCTTATGGATGTCTAGGATGCACTGGCCAGATTAAGTCATTGCTGGTTAAATACCCTGTCTCCACACAAAACTAAACAAATAAACAAACAAACAAAACAAAACAAGTGTGGACAGCTCACTGCTGAGGACCCACACTGGAGCTGGCCTCTGGCTGGCATAGGAGCCCCCCAGGAAAGGAAAGAAGGAAAGGAAAAGGGTATCTCATTCTCCATGGGGAATCTTGGTGTGCTTCTCACACAGAGAACACCTAAGCAGAAGCCTGCGGGAGAGAAAAGGAGGGAATGCTGGTTGTGCAAACGTGTGTCCTGGCATTCCCACAAACAGCTGTACCACCACACACGGGGCCGTGTCTAACACACGAATGCAAATTGCATTGTTTTATTTCATTTCCATAGTCCCGGTAATTAAGAAAAATGTAATAAAGTTATAGAAACCCCCACATTGTGGCGTGTAAACAATGGATATCTCTCACATTTGATTTCTGGCTTAAAATTCACATTGTGCCTCAATAGTATCTCCTGCACATATGTAAATAACTAAATGTAACCTGTTTAAAGTGAGCCGTTTTACAATCTAGAAGCCAATTGCAGTCACCTGGGAGATTTTGAAGTTAGACCCACCGTTTCTATGGGGACTAATAATACCCATTCTCCCCAACTCCTGCATAACCCAGACTCTGTGCTTCTCCTTACCAGGTTTCCACCTCTATCACAAGTTGCCCACCATTGTGCCTGAGAGCTGCCTTCTCATAATGGTTGGACTTCTACTAGGTGGGATCATCTTCGGTGTTGATGAAAAGTCTCCCCCCGCCATGAAGACAGATGTGTTTTTCCTGTACCTCCTTCCACCCATCGTTCTGGATGCTGGCTACTTCATGCCCACTCGCCCCTTCTTTGAGAATTTTGGCACCATTTTCTGGTATGCTGTGGTAGGCACGCTGTGGAACTCCATTGGCATTGGGGTGTCTTTGTTTGGCATCTGCCAGATTGAGGCGTTTGGCCTGAGTGACATCACGCTGCTGCAGAACCTGCTCTTTGGCAGCTTGATCTCGGCCGTGGACCCTGTGGCCGTGCTCGCTGTCTTTGAGAACATTCACGTCAACGAACAGCTCTATATCCTGGTCTTCGGCGAGTCCCTGCTCAATGACGCTGTCACAGTGGTGAGTGGACAAGCGCCTGGAACGTCACTGAGTATGTGGGAGCCATCCGTCACTTACATCTTAAGAGGCTTTCCAAGGTTCTAGGGTGAATAACCTGTCAGGTGTCTCTTGCTATACATTGACAGCATGATGTGATGTCAAATGTAGGGAAGCATTTCCCCACATGGCAAAGGAGCAATGGATCCTGTAGTGGACATCGGCTAACTTCCCTCTAAGTCAAATCATTGCTGATACTGTCTATCTAGAGATAGCATCAGGCATACAGGCTGAGGGTTCAGTCCCCCAGATTGTCAGTCTCTTTCCCAATGCAAACCTCAGTTCACTTGACTTGTGATTTTGACTAATGGGCTCTACAGTAAGAGTTCCCACACCTCCTTCTGGCTAGAGTAGCTCACAAGGCTCATATACATTGGTTTAGTATGTCAATACTGCAAAAGATACAGATGGAGGGTGTATCGGGCAAAGGGGCATGAAGCTTCATATCAAACTCCCATACACCCAGCTATCCAGAAGCCCTTGGAATCTGTCCCTTTGGGTTCTTTTGACACAGGCACGATTGATTACATCATTGGCCATATGTTACTAATTTCACCTTCTACCCTTTCCCTTTCATGAGGTTAGAAGATGAGAATCAAAGTTTCAACTGTTGAACTTGGCCTTGGTCTTTCCAGTGACCAGATCCCATCTTGCTGAATCTGCCACCCACCAACCAGTCATTAGCATGCAAAGACACTTGTCACTGAAGAGAGTCTAAGGATTTTAGCAACTGCATGTCTGGGGAGAGTTGGAAAAATTGAGTACATACTTCCTAATATCAGAGCTCTTCATTTGAATTAATGATCTTATGTTGTGACCTTAAAACCCTTAATACACATTTTAATTAGTTACTTATATTTTATTTATTATGGTATAATTGGCTACTCACTTTCATTTTTCACCAGGCCCCACAAAGAGTGTACACCTGGCACCTTCATAAAATACAAAGCACAAACACAAGGTTAAGGAACATGAACATGATTGTGGTTGTGGCCATTGTATCTCTGATGGTTTACCTCTGTGATGTTTTTTAAACCTAATGGTCTTTGGTAATAATTCAAGGGATCTCAGGTCTCTGTGAGAAGTGATGGTATTAGTATACATAATATATAGTGATGTTTACTAGGGAACATTCTCTCTGGAAGAATTGATGCTATTAGTATATATATAATATTTATATATTACATGTATATATAGTATAGTATATATAATAGATACTAATATACAACACTTGTGAAGTGATGCTTACTGGGAAATGTTCTCTCTGGAGAAGTGATGCCATTAGTATTTATAATATGTACTAATATACAACACTTGTGAAATGATTTTTACTAGGGAGCATTCTCCCTGGGAGAAGTAATGCCATTAGTATACATATATAACACATATATATATATAAAACATACATAAAATATAATATAGTATGTATAATATCTACTAATATACAACACTTGTGAAGTGATGTCTATTAGACAACATTCTTTCTGGGAACAGTGTGACTGCTATTGATGGTTGTAAAGAAATCTTTTATCACATGCACACTTTCTGCTTCCACTGAATCAGCACACTCCTGGCCCTCATCATGTTCCCACAGGCAGATTTTTATTTTTACAAAGCACTAATTATTTTAATCCTCTTTTAAATACCACATAGCTGGAGTCAAAAGCTGCTGTGATCTTTACTTTAGCAGAACTTACTTCCACCGTGCCTTTTGAACTCAGGCAAGGGGTGGTGGGGTGGACAAGGAGACTCTCCCCTGATCCATGGACCTTTAGAGAGCTCTCCCTTCAGTTACAGTGAAGTGATCCTGAACTGGTAAACCAGTTAGTTGGCACTAGTGAGGCCTTACGGGTAACAGGGATGGCAGCCATTAGCTCTTACTGAATGCTTCTCTCACGATCAGCTCCTTAGACAGCCTATGCAAAAGGTACTACCACTTTGTAGATGCAATTGAGGTGGGCAGGTTAAAGAGTGTTCACTTCACTTACAGTACTCTTTCCATTAGCTCTTACCCTTCAAATGTTATTCACGGCTCACTTGACAGTGTGCACGGAGACAAGCATGATTCTCTGTTAGTCATATTTTACTGCAAAAGCAGATCCCTGAACTAAATACAAATATTTTTACCTGGAAGGATGTTCGTTAATTCCAGCTGGATATTATTATGGAGAAAACAATTTGAGAGTTAATAAGCCATATAATTTTAGAATAGCTTCTTAGGTATTTTTTCAGACAGCAAGTTAACTTACTCAACAACAAAACTTAATTCATACATTCTATTATTTATTAACAGTGATTTGTCATTAACTTTCAGTATTAAATTTTAACTAGGAAACTGTATAACAGCAAAGACATTTATCACTCATTCTAATTCCCTCAGGCTTTAGGGTATTCCATCGGGACTTATACTCACATGTAAATTTTACCCTTGCTGGAGGAAACTGTGGGCCTGTGAATGTGGAATTTTTGGAGTGAACCTATGATAAAATAAGAACACCTTGCTGGATTCCTTCTAAAGGATCTCAGCAAAGTTAGGTTGGTTTCAGAATGACATGCAGTTTAGATGGCCTTCCTACAGCTCAGAAAATGCTTCATCCAGTTAGATTTCAGGAAGGGAATCTGGCTAACCCTTTATTCAAAGTGTACAAAGCAGTGCGGGGGATCCAGAGGCACATCCCACACTCGCTGTCACGGATGCGCAGTCATGAGCTGTGGTGTAGATGGAGATGGATGGCTGCCCCAGGGAAGACCAGGAAGGGACAGAGAAAGCACGTGGCTATGTGTAAAGTGGAAGAAGTTCTTCTCTACAGTCGGTACCAGTAAGTCAGGACAACCTGGTGGCTTTCTGTGGAAGACCGTGCCTTGGCTTGCAAGCTCCCTCAAAACATAAACTCATGGAATATTAGAATTGCTCCCCTACCCCAGGCTTGCTGATGGCATAGAATAAACTCCCTAATGTTTCTTTCACAGCATTGACTAAACACTGCACTGAACTGAATCCACATTAGGAACAACTAGAGTAATGTTGTAGACCATTATTTGTCTTCTACCAGATTACCAGGACATTTTATTGAATAGCCTTTGACTCCTTCCTTTCCAGAGTCTTATCACTAAGAGAGGTTTCAATAACTCATGGAACATGAAAACATGTGAAAACATGGATCATGGTATTTATACCCAAATATATAGCATCACCAGGAGTTGAAGATTGAGGGATATCAGTAAATCAGAGCAAGGCTGTGTTACATCACCTCACCCTTCCTGTATCATGATAAACTCAACTAGATGGGTTAAGGGGGAGAGATCCTAGCTCAAAACTATCCCAGAGCACGAGTACTGTCCAATCTAGAAGTTACAAACCAAACTCATCATGCTGTCATCAAAAGCTCAGGTAAATTCAGATCAAGCAGAGGAATGGCACACAATTGAAAATTTAGAACTGATTCTTAGTATTTTCATGTTAATTCGTTTTGGTATTTTTGTGAAAATATTTCAAATCCTGTCGCGTCCACCTCGACCAGCAAGGAAGACGCAACACCAGGCTCTTCTCCAAGCAGTTTATTCAGGAACCTTGAACAATCTTCTGACCCTGGGGAAAGCCATCTTCTCCACACCGGGGAAAGCCAGCCCATGCCCTTTATAGCCACTGGGCAACCAACCCCGTAGTGCCACGTGGACAATGCCCATAGGGTCAGACATACGCAAGCAAGCCAGATTCCATGCCCAAGCCAAATAAGGAGTTGTTTATCCCAGAGAACACCTGCCATCGGGAAGGCGGAAGCCGGACGCCGGCACCATCTTTGAGGCGCGGCCATGCACGGCTCTCTACAAAATCCAAAGAGACATCCTACTGTTTCCACAGTTGTCTATAACAAATTGACTTCTCACATGGTAATGTCTAACATCAGGCCTAGGCGCTAGTGCAGCCATTGAGTGTTCTAACAAAGTTTCCTGGAAGATTCAAGGAACTTCCTTGAGTGATTCCTAGTTAGCTACCTGTAGGTAGGGCTGTAAAGGACTGCTGTCTTTGAAGACAGTAGTTAGTGATGTATCTTGATGGTAAGTTATCATGGGCTGTGGGGTGAAAATTCACTTAAGAGAGGTTAGCACTGAACATTGTGCGCTCAACCTAGACTTGCAAATCACAGAATTATCTGAAATTCATGATAGAAAATAATTATGCTTTGAGAAAATAATTATCACTTTTTTTATAATAAAGTGATCTGCATGGTATTTTCATGAATAAACAACTGTATTTGTGTAACTTGCTGTATACACTTTCACTGAATCACTGCACATTTTAAATTGAAATTTAAAGCATTTAATCCATAATTCACACACATGCATATATATAAATATTCATAACAAACGGACCTTAGATCATATGACAGGCTTGAGAGCACTCAGCCAACACATGGGCTAATTATTAATTTATTACAGAGGTGTCTGTCACTGGAATTTTAATTTATTAAAAATACATGTCAACTTTCTGGCCAACACCTGAGATACTTTTGTCACACAACATACATCATTATCTACATGTACACAACACACACACACACGTGTATATTTACACATATACACACACACACAACTTCAAATCTCCTTTTTGTATAGATTATCTCAGATAAAATTAAAAACTTAACTGAGGTGTACTATCTATGCAGTTATAACTAGTTCCATAAGATTGAGCATAAAACAAGTTGGAGCTTACAGAGGCTTTCCAATTGTAGATACTGCTTAAACCTTGCCATTCCCTCCAACATGGCACTGGTAGCTTTGGCAGTAAACTGGTCAAAGTGGGCATTTTGTCCATTGCCCCAAAGTAAAGCACCTGTGATTCAGCTTCTCTCTTTCAATATTTAGAGCAAAGTTTGAAGCAGGACACCCTTTGATAGACTGGATGTGTTGAGTGGCTAGGGAAACAATTTTGGAAGTGTCGTGAATGTGCAACTCTGCTGATAACAGTTATTTCATGCACAAGCACATTCAGGCTCCCATGAGGTCCTGTGAGCGCGGTAGGTGGAAGGACAATGGAGGAGGAGCAGACTCTTTCTGGCTCGCTCTGGGAAGAAGTTTCTTGTTTTGCTGGGGAAAACATTATACTCACTGGGAAAGCAGCCAGTACGAAATGGCAAAGTACTATGTGGTTTGGGGTCCATCTGGGTATTGCAGGTCAGAGGAAAGGACAGTACCCAAAGGCTGTAGGAATCCAGGAAGGCCTTGGGAAGAATGGCAGCTTCAGTAATGCTGCCTTGGAAGACAGTTCCCAGGGTTAGGAACTTGTCTTCATCAAGGAGAATGACAGGAAAGAAAGCGTAGGGAGGGATGGGGACATGCGGTGTGTTTTGTCGAGTAGTGAGGAAATTCTGCCTCTGACTTTTAAGGGTATTGTGGAAAGCAGTAAATCATGGAAGAAGGAAGGACGGGAGGGAAGGAGGGAGGGAGTGAGGGAGGGAAGAGGAGAGGAAAGAAGAAAGGAAGGATGGGAGGGAGAACAAGATCCATGTATATTAAGACTATTAGGCCTTTCCAAAGTCAGGCAACCGAAGACTTTGATTCTTGAGAATAGAAAATGGAAAACCCTAATAGGCAGGGTAGACAGATAGAGAGACGTGGGCTCACTGGTGCAGGCTGGAGGCAGAGTAGACTGGTGGAGTCGAGGACAGAACTATAGTATCTCAGTGGAACTGGAGGGAGGCTGTCTAGGCAAAAACTGAACTGGTCTACCATTGAATACCCTGAGAAAGGCCACTTGTGATGCAATGGTGGCTGTCATCTTTGTCTTTGGCAGTTTGGAGGCAAGAGATTTGTGTGTCACCTCTCAAACCCTGTTAGGCAGCAGTGTGACACAGAGTGGCTACTGTACCTGGACCCTGTAGCAAACTCATGACCGAAAGTAGGAATTGGTGCGTCTGCTAGGCAGCACAGAAAACAGAACTCCTAACAAGGTGCTGGTTGACCCGAGAGAGCTTGGAATCCAGAAGAAAGAAGGAAAACATTTCTGCCAAGCCCACAAGGTAGTAGACTCTGTAAATAACTGAGACAGAGGCAGTGGTGTGGCATTCGCTGGGACATGGGCTACTTATCAGGAGGTGGCTGACTCATGGGCCCATGTTGAACCTTGAACACCTCATCCAGGTTAGAAAATCTGTATTCTAACATCACCTCTGACATTCTGTGTCACTTGACTTTAGAAAAATTTGATTGTTTTCTACTTTCTCAGAAGCCAAATGAAGGTACACCCCAGCCCTTGGGTCCAATGCCCTCACACATTGGTTTTTTAAATTTTTGAAATGACCCCATAGCAGTTAATTCCACAGTGGAAAAAAATTCAGGAAACTTGTTTGAGTTGAGCTTGACTCTCCATCTGTGGGTAAAGTGGCAAGGCTTCAAAGTCAATCGTTCCCCTCGCATGTGGTGCAGAAGCTTTCACACATGGGTTATAACATATTGCCCAAGGACATGAAGTGAGTAGAATTCCTGAAGTCTTAATTAAATCAAGACTGCTAAACAAACAAACAAACAAACAACAACAACAACAACAAAACCAGGCGTGGATCCGTTACTTTACAGGCATCAAGTGTGTGTGTGAAGGCTCAACACACATACACCACACAGGTTCACACATCAAGTACATATGGCCTCTTCCCTTTTAGAAACATCCTTGATGCTGAACGTTATACCAGGCACACTGCATATGTAGGTAGAACAAGGAGGTGTGGATATGAGTGAGGATGTGTTTCCTGGAAGGAGGAATCCCTCAGTGGGGTACCCGCACTAAAGGGTGTGCCTGTTCCATGTCATGACTCTACGGTAGGACTTTATAAATGTATTTCCACAGCGAGCTGGTAAGTTTCTCTATGACACACGGCTTCTGAGCCATGGCTATATGAACAGGGTATGGCAAGCAAGTGTTTGAAAATAGCCTTCCAGGTGGTGGCTGGAAAAAATAATCTTTGAAGAATAATTTGGGTGATATATTTGCAATGTTCTCTTCTTTACTTCTCAAAATAGTTTATCTGACAAGACACCAAGACACTTTTTGCTAAAGATTTTATTTAAAGCCACAATATTATTATTCATGGCAAATAACTGCACAGTATTTCCTCTGACATAGAACAAATATCCTTCTTAGATTTTTTTTTTCTGTGCCCAGGGTGATCACAGGGAAGACTGGGAGGGATATTTTTATTCTTTCTCATGTGTATGCATGTGTGCATGTATGTGCATGTGCGTGTGCGTGTGCATGTGCGTGTGCGTGTGTGTGTGTGTGTGTGTGTGTGTGTGTGTGTGTGTGTGTGTATGAGGAGGCCTAAGGTTAACAAAGTCTTCCTCCATCATTCTCCACCTTATTTACTGAGTCAGGATCTCAAAGGTGAACCCAGTTTGATGGCCAGTTGGCTTCTGAGATTCCCCCTGTCGCTGCCCCCTGTGGTTACAAGCAGGCCTCCATGCCATCTCTGAATTTGCAGGGGTGCTGGGGGAATTCAAACATTGATGCTCACATGTGTGATAAGCACATTCTCCACTGACGTGTCTCCAGCTCCAGAGGGCCCGATGGTGTGCTTTCTCATTCCCCCAGGTCCTGTACAACCTGTTCAAGTCATTCTGCCAGATGAAAACCATCCACACGGTCGACGTGTTTGCCGGCATCGCCAACTTCTTCGTGGTGGGAATCGGCGGGGTGCTCATCGGCATCCTCCTGGGATTTATAGCAGCCTTCACCACCCGTTTCACACACAACATCCGAGTCATCGAGCCGCTTTTTGTCTTCCTCTACAGCTACTTGTCCTACATCACAGCTGAAATGTTCCACCTCTCGGGCATCATGGCGTAAGTGTCTCACCACTAACAGCCCATGATTCATGCATGTACATTCTGAGATGTTGACCAAGTTACGTGAAAGACTAGATTTTTCTCATCCTGAGAACAACTAGCTTTTGATTTTTCTCAAACCTTTTGTCACGTTGAAATGAAAGTATATGCTATCCAGATTTAATGCTAGCACAGTCTGGAGCTGACAGGAAAAAGGTGCAAACATTAACTCTTGAGTCTCCGATGAAATACAGCGATGAACTTGATTGTTGATCTGGATCAGGTATCAGCACTTTATGAGTCTGATCCCCATTCAGTGTGCTCTGTGTGGGAGGCTGCAAAATATTCCAACAAGGTTACATCAAGGTTGCCTTGCAGCACCTGACAGGCCCATGGAGTTCTGGAGCTGTTGCTGTGCGTCCATTTGAACATTCTAACTCACAGTAGGTCTGCTCGCAGCAGTTAAGCTAATTTAATACAGGACGTGATGATAGAGAAGATCTTGTAATTTCAGATATCTTCTTTTAATATGGAACTTAAATTTTTTTGATACAGGGTTTAAATTGTTTTGAAATAAATAATAATAACAATGTATTTATTAAAGATACATTTACCATCTTGTTCACTAGCTCGGAGGAAGGTTTTTAAAAGCTTGTACATGTGAGCTGCAGATGGGTGATGTTTGGATCACACTGGCTGTCAGAGTGTTATGCCAAAGAAAGCTAGTCAATAGAGAGTTTTCCCCCGAACAATATGATGGTCGAGTTCCCTCTAGGGCCAATGAAAAATGTCTTAGGAATGAATAGTGGAACGCCTACCTTGGTTTTGCTTTGACATTCAGTTGCACCCTGTAAACTGTAGTCTGAGTTAGGGTGTGGGGAATGTATTTAGAGTTTGCTCTGTAATGTAGGACTCATTCTTTCTGCAGTGTTCTCCCCTGACCTGAAGTAGGTGGTACTTTGATTAAAGAGTGTTTGGGTTCATGCCTCTTGGCCACACGTTCATTTCAGAAGCAGATGGAGTCTGTGGTGTGAGGAGGCAAAGGGAAGTCGAACTCGCTGTCATAAAAGCCACGAGTTAAAGGTTGGGTGGTTTTCCGTTTCAAAGAGAACCTAAATAAAGCAACGTATTAATCCAGTTTGACCCAGTAATGAGACATTCCCGGTTGCTATTCATATCGCTGTGTGACTTCCAGTGTCCCCGTTGTTCTTTGAACAGCGTCACTGAAAACGTGTGATCAGCTAGTTACGAGGTCTGTGACAGCGTGTGGGCAGGGCCTGGTGTCTAATTTCTCAGCAGGGTTGTTCTAGACACAGCTTCATAGGAACCCTGGATTTCACAGTCTGGCTCTGGACTATGTGCATGTCTAGAACACTCAAAGTAGCTGCTGAAAATTAGTCACTGTACAATGTTCAAGAGCGGAGATGGGAGTTCCTGAAGATACTGAGTGGTTGAAAAGGTGCAGGAGGGTAGAAGTGGGTGTGAGAGCAACGGCAAGAATCCATGAAGTACGTTGGGCCTAATCTTCCCTAAAATTAATACCAAATGGAGACCAAGTATTCAAATGCCCCAAACTTATAGAGGACATCTCATGCAAACAACCACATCTTCATTGTACCAACATAATGAAAGTATTAATAGGTACAAAAGTAAATAAGAGATTCTAAGAGATCAAAATTCCATTACACAGCTATTACCCTCCGATGGTAAATGAAAGGACATATTTACATCAATGCACCAATTCTCTCAGAAGTGGGGCTCTATGTTCCAGTGTGGGGTAGTCAGCATGGCTGTTCAAATCCTGAGTGGGTGTGATGCTTCTACAGGGCACACGCACAGGTGAATTTGCAAGCACTCTCCTAGGAGCACATTGTGTAAACTCCCAGGCTGTAGTTACTATATTTACCTTGGGACACTGCTCAGGGCATACAGCATATCCATGTCCTGAGAAGTATGCATCCATGCATCTCATGGAACCAACAAATTCCTCTGAATTTGAATTGCACTGAGCTTAGAAATTATTCTGGTCCTTTCTGTTACTTAGATTCTTTCTTACCATTAAAAAACCAATTTTAAAGACCAGGCGGTGGTGGCGCACACCTTTGATCCCAGCACTTGGGAGGCAGAGGCTGATAGATCTCTGTGAGTTCCAGGCCAGCCTGGTCTACAGAGTGAGTTCCAGGACAGGCTCCAAAGCTACACAGAGAAACCCTGTCTTAAAAACCAAAACAAACAAACAAAAAACCAAAACAAAATGAATTTTAAGTTTAATGGAAGTAAATATCCAGGGATGCTGAATGTTCTGAGTTCTCTCCATCATTTGCTGAGGAGAGAGTGTCATCCTATGGGTGCAAATAGGTAGGAGAGCAGTCAGGTGACCTCAGTCTACACTCCTCCCCAAGGATCTGTGTAATAGTTATGAAACAGTCCAGTTCCACCTCCCGCTCTCCCTGGCTTGCTCCCTCATCCTCTTCCATCCTTCTCCCTCCTCATGCTCTTGTGGCCGCTGACTTGGTTCAGGAGCTTTGCCTTTCAGCTGAGCTCTGTCCTGAAATGAGCTAATGGAACGATCAGGTAGTTAACATGAGAGTCTGATTAGAAAGAACTTTCCTTCTGTAGAACAAAAGCTTTAGGCTGAAAATAGAAGCAGATTTTCAAGATGGAAAGTAGAATTTATGTCTTGATTTTAGGGAGGTACTCCAAGCAAGTGTTCTCAGGGTATTCAGAAAGCTTGTTGTTTCTGCTGTTGGTTGTCATGAGACTGGAGTTGGATAGGCCCCTCGCTGACAACTCCATTAATTACAATGTGATGGAGGTCTTCTGGCCTTCCCTGGACGTTCTTAGATTTAGACTGGGATTTCCCTTTGTGGTGTTACCCAATGCTTTGACACCTCATGGAATGCAAAAAGCATCATTTCTGCCTACATTCGCCTGTATTTTCATGCAGGATGTGTGTGTGTGTGTGTGTGTGTGTGTGTGTGTGTGTGTGTGTGTGTGTGTGAGAGAGAGAGAGAGAGAGAGAGAGAGAGAGAGAGAGAGAGAGAGAGAGAGAGACCCATCTGTCTGTATCTAAGTGATTCAGAGTTCATTTTCTGTGGCACTAGGCCTAAAGTTCGGGGAAGGTTTTCATACCCCCCTCTACACAAGAAATGTTGTATATTAACAGCTCTGGACCCTTTGCCATATCAAAGCAGCATTGAAGGGGACAGGGAGGTGACTACAGGTCTTTTAGGAATTAGGAAACTCTTTACTTCATATATGTGTTTTGAACTTTGTGCTCAGTACACACTCGATGATGATTTCCCACTGGTGATGGGAGATTTGACATTTTTTTTTTCTCAAGGGCTCTGACTGACACTTTGACACTCTCCTAAAATCAAATCCATTAAAATCCAATAATGACCTTTCATGGAAGTTTGGGATCTCCCTTTGGATACCAAGTTCTGGGCTTCAGCTTGTCTGTCACACAAAACCCTGGAGCCTGGTGTATGCATTGCCCTGCAGAGGAGTGTTTTACCTCTATTGTAGCTTGTAGCCCACTGGGAAAGGATGGATTTTTTATTTATTTTTTTGGCTAGGCTCCAAGAATTTCAGAAATGCCTCATTTCTTGGAGGAGTTATGTTCCGTGTTTTTCTTCATTTCGTTTTAGTGGGTTAATAATTCCATAGAGTTCTCCTCTGAAGAATACTTCCTAAATATTTTCTATTTATTATTTCAATTCCTGTACCTGCCTTATTGCAAAAAATTAGGAAGTGGTAGTTTTTAGCATTACTTAATGAATGTGTACATTGAGGCCCAAGCTTGGCTGTAGGCTGCCTCAGTAGGTAGTTATGGCTATACCCTGGCTCTCTAGAGGCTGTATCAGTCCAGTCCATGTAAAGAAAAACAGGGAGAGGAGAAGAAACATGAAAAAGAAAGGAAAGGGAATTTCTAATATACAATTGTTTCTAGAATGATTAGCAGGGACTGGAGAGCTGGTTTAGAGGTTCAGATCTCTGCCTGCCCTTCCAAAGGACCCAAATGCAATTCCCAGCACCCACATGGCAGCTCACAACTGTCTGTAATTCCATTTTAGGGGATCTGGCTTCCTCACATGGACATATCTGCAGACAAAACACCAATGCACATAAAATAATAATAAATTATTAGAATGATTAGCTCAGGTCTGGTCTAGGTGTGGGTCCAGCCTATGGCTGAGCTGGTTGCTCCTGCAGTGAGGATTCTATTCTCTCTTCTTACTTTCCTTTGTAGGGTTGACAATCTATTTTACATTTTGAGAGGAATGAGAAAGCTTGTCTTTGTTTGCTATATTGGACTGGGTCTGAATCTCTTTATTAGTTGCTCAAAAGGGTCCTAGGGAGCTAGGGACATGTTGTTGAGACAAAAGAATACCATTTATCCTGTAAAGTGATGAAACTGAGCAGATCAAGGTCCCAAAAGGCATGGTAATGTGGGTTTTAGCTCCTTTAATTTTAGGTGGAGATGATTGACAGAACTGTGTTGGTAATTTGTCCGTTTGCAGCAGATCTGAAGTGGAAAGAATGATGTTGGGGAAGTTTTGGGTAATTTAAACTTGCGCTGTGGGTTTAAATGATCAATTAGGGCCATGGACTTTTCTAGCAAAGGAGAACTGTGGGCTACAGCTGCTCTCTCCTCATTCTTCACTGTGCTTGGCAGCACTCAGGAGCTTATCACTTCAAGACTCATGAGCAGGAAGTCGTTTCTCTCCATGCCAGAATGAGTAGGTCTTTTATTACTGTTGTCAAAAAAAAAAAAAAAGTAAAAACCTAAGGAGCACAGGACACCACAGGACACTCATAACACAGTACACCAGACATCACAATTCAGACACATTTCAGACACAAGGAGCATCTTGAGCATCCAGCTATCAACAGAGAGAGAGAGTTGGCTGGAAGGACACAGGGACCAAGCCTGGAGCCCAAGATCTCTGACTTTAAGGCCTTGCCCTTCTCCTTGGGTCACTGTGCTGTACAATGCACTAGAAAGCAGTGACTTT